AAGGAAACATTCTGGTGTTGTTTCTAGCCTAATTTTTATTGCCCTGCTTACAGAAACTGCCTCTCCGGTTAATCCTTATTCCGTTGTCACAGCTAAGGCGAAGCGCCCATCGACCTGAGTGACATTGAGTTGGCCACACCCACCCAGTCACATGACCACCAAGCCCCAGATGGTCATTAGGGCAGAGAACCGTTTGTTAAATTATTTGAATCCCACCACTGGTTACACAGCATTGTGGTTCATGCAACCCAACATTCCCTGTACATATTAAAACAATACAGACATCAACAGCTGAAAGGTTTTCTGAACTAGAACTGGAAAAAAAACTTTACCTACCATATTTTTCGGAGTATAAGACACACCTTTTTCCCTCAAAAAAGAGGCTGAAAATCTGGGTGCGTCTTATACACTGAATACAGCATTTTTGCCTCCCGAAACCCTGCCCCGCTTCACCAAAATGTCCATGCATAGCTTTTAGGAAGCTTTCAGAGTGCTCCTGGGGGCTGGGAAGGGCAGAAAGAAGCAAAAAACGGGCCGTTTTTTTGCCCAGTTTTGTCCCCCCACCAGCCCTCAGGAGCATCTATAAGCCTTCTAAAGGCTAACCAAGCCCTTTTTTTGACGAAAAACGGGCCTGTTTTCATGAAAATTGGGCCATGTTTTGCTCATTCCCCCCCTCTCCCAGGAGCACTCTACAAGCCTCCTAAAGGCAATTCATGCCCTTTTTGGGGAGGGGGAGGGGAAACACAGGCCTGTTTCCCCGAAAAACGGGCCATTTTGGGGGAGGTTTGCCGAGTGCAAAATCTTTTTTTTATATTTGCCTCTTCGAAACCTTGGTGCGTCTTATACTCTGGTGCGTCTTATACTCCAAAAAATATGGTACTTTCCAAAAAAAAAGGTAGTGGAAAGGAATGGTATAGATTTCCTGATATGTCAAATCTGTGAGAATCTGGTTTTCATACATTGTATCAAAGCTCATAAATCATAAATTATCTAAATGATTGCTCCACCATATTGTAACATCCACTTCTCATCTACGTAACTTAGTTTGAAAACTACACAGTAGGAACTTCAACGCAAACTAATAACTTAATGAGAATTCGAGATACATTGATGACTTCTTCTAAAGCTCAAAAAAATAAGAATTTACATAACAAGATGTGTCCAGTGACTGTGTTTTTCTTCGTTCCATTCCTATTTATCTCCCCTTGGATGTAATTCACCCACCGGAGCCCATGGGCACACATGTGGGCCGAGAGTCTATTTTCAGGGAATAAGAAGGATTTCCCCTACAGGGAGTTTTTGCAAATGCCCTGATCCACGCACCCCTGAATAGTTATATAGAGACTTTTTGATTTCAATGTTTCCAGCTAAATCTGAATACTGGTAGTCCTCAGCTTACAATCAAAATTGAGCCCAAAATGTATGTGGTTAAGTGAGAAATTTGTTAAGTGAGCTTTGTTCCATCTTACGACTTCACTTGCCACATTTGTTAAGTGTATCACTGCAGTTATTAAATTAGTAACACAGTTTTAAGTGAATCTGGCTTCCCCATTCCCTTTGCTCGTCAGGTTGTCGCAAAAAGGGATCATGTGACTCTGAGGCACTGCAACCCGCCATAAATGTGAGCTATTGTCAAGCATCCGAATGTAAACATATGACCATGGTCATAAGTGTGAAAAATGGTTGTAAGTCATCTTTTTCAGTGCCGTTGTAATTCTGAACCAGTCACTAAATGAATTGTTGTAAGTCAGTGAGGACGACCTGTATTAAGCATATATCACAGAATCTATTGTTATAGCCAGGTCTATTACGATATTTATTATTTGTGTAACCATTAGTAACTAAAATAATTTAGGAGAAAACTACATGCTAGAACTTTGGTTTTACGGAACTCAAGGGACAATGCTAGTTTAAAGCATTTCAAATTCAAACCATAACTTAGAATTTACGTGCAAACTTAAATTAACATAATGACACCTTCTCATTTCTAATGATGGGGTTATTGATTTTTATTTACATTTTTTCACTAATTCTTTTATTGTAGAAATAAATTTGATTTACAGCCCATATTACTATGAATTCTTTGAAAAGGATGTGGAAGAGCGTTTGAGAAAATTAAAAGTAAGTTATCTAACACGTAGCTGTACAATCCATCAAAGTTACCTTTAAAAGATATCCTATTGTATATTCCTATTAAAGCTACATTCTTCCTACAATTTCATCACTTTTTGTTATTCTTGTTCTGTGTAATAGGAAATATACCCTGAACCAATTGAACTTGTAAAACGGATGGAATCTCTCCAAGTAGATGCTGTGTCAGAACCTCCCAGCACAGCTCGATCGGGTATTTAATTTTATTTTATTTATATCCAGTTTACACTGTTGTTGATCCAACAGATTCCAGGTATAGTGATAGTCAGCCATGACCTTCCAACTAAAAACTATGTTAGAGATCTGTTGTGGCCCAGCAGGAGCCGTTGGAGCTGCCATCAGACTCCGACAGCAAGGGGCCCTCTGAGTTGGCTCTGGAGGATGTGGAGGACCCTGGACAGGGTTCCGACTCCGAGCAGGGCGCAGAGAGGCTGGTTGGCCACCAGGAGGCACCTGAGGCTTGGACCAGTAGGGAGGAGACAAGGGAGAGTGAGCCGGAAGCCAGCAGTGAGTTGTTCCTGGATGCACGCCATCGAAGATGTGAAGATGTGTGGACTTCAACTCCCAGAATTCTTTGCTGGCTGAGGAATTCTGGGAGTTGAAGTCCACAAGTCTTCAAGTGGCCAAGGTTGGAGACCCCTGCTCTACCCAACTCCATTGTTACAGCCTCAAACCCTCACAGCTTCAACCTCAAACTGTCTGCCATGGGCCTCACCCCATTCGTAAGAGGTCCATAAAGGGGGCGTGCATAAGCGCACCAGCGTGCCTTGCCGTCCCTTGTCCCCCGTATATCTGTATTTACTTCCTTTGTTCATGTTTATGTTTATACTTATACCTGCTATCTTGTACATAAAGTAACATTTCTAATCTATGCCACAGATCAACCTGGTTCTTTGCACAGTTCTCAAGGTTTCACCGCTAACACCATAGATGAAAGCATGTTTGCGCCATATCCAGAAAATGAACCTGTAGAAAGCTGCGAAAGTGCCTACGAGCCCTCAGCGACCTTGGAACGAAAATTAGAGGATGAACTAAATTACCATGTCTATGGCAGCAGGATGGATAAGCCGGAAGAAGGTCTTTATGCTGCGCGTAGTGCTCAAATGCAAGAGGAGGAGAGGAGAAGGAGAAAGGTCTCATATGACCCCTTTGCCAAAGCGCCAGTCATACCTCGGTCACCAGAGTTTTACCCGAGAGCTCAAAACATCCAAGCAAGTGTGAGTAACAACAATAGCAGTACACCTCATTCAAGTCGTCCATGGCACTCAACACCCCTGGGAGCGATAGATCCAAATGGCTTTTCGGTGGCAGGAACTCCATATCCCAGGAGGCTAACAAGTGCAGAAGATCTCTACGGAGCAGCACCCCCAGCGGCAAACGTGAATTTCAATAAAGCACCGATTCCAGAATCTGGCATAAACAATCAGGCCAAGCCATTCAGTCCGTATCTTTATCCCCAAAGCTTAAGGACAGAAACTGGTAAGTGAGATAATATGGGAGGGTTGCTTATTTCTCTTTACATCGTGGTGGCCGTATCCACTCTAACACCATCCATTACCCAGGAAAAGAACGAAAAGCAGAGTCCAGTTGCAACCCACAATAATAAAGTTAATCAGCTTTAACTACCGTATTTTTCAGAGTATAAGGTTCACCATTCCCCCCTCCAAAAAAAAAGAAGGTGAAAATTTGAGTGCGTCTTATACACCGAATCAGGGGTGGGCTTCAACCGGTCCGCGGCAGTCCGCACGGACTGGTTGGTCGGTGAACCCGGAAGTAAGTAACTGCTAGACATGTGACTGGGTGGGCGTGGCCAACTTGTAAAATGTGGTGAAACTTACTTAACAACACTCTTGCTTAGCAACCAAAATGTTGGCTCAGGAACTCTGGCATTTGAAGTGTGCAAGTCTTAAAGTTGTCAAATTACAACACTTGACACCCTTGTATCCTTAACGCTTTACAAAAAAAAACCCCAGGGATGTTCAAACTTGACAGCTTTAAGACTTCTGGACTTCAACTCCCTGAATTCCTCCTCCAGTCATGTTGGCTCAGGAACTCTGGTATTTGAAGTGTGCAAGTCTTAAAGCTGTCAAGTTACAATACACTTGCACCCCTAACCCTTTAGAAAAAAACCCCAAGGGATGGTCAAACTTGATAGCTTTAAAACTTGTGGACTTCAACTCCCTGAATTCCTCCTCCAGTCATGTTGGCTCAGGAACTCTGGCATTTGAAGTGTGCAAGTCTTAAAGCTGTCAAGTTACAAGACCCTTTTGCACCCCTAACCCTTTAGAAACCCCCCCCCCCAGGGATGTTCAAACTTGATAGCTTTAAAACTTGTGGACTTCAACTCCCTGAATTCCTCCTCCAGTCATGTTGGCTCAGGAACTCTGGCATTGAAGTGTGCAAGTCTTAAAGCTGTCAAGTTACAAGACCCTTTTGCACCCCTAACCTTTTAGAAAAAAAACCCAGGGGTGTTCAAACTTGACAGCTTTAAGACTTGCACACTTCAATGCCAGAGTTCCTGAGCCAACATGACTGGAGGAGGAATTCTGGG